GGAGTATGTAGAGAGCAGTTTAACCTCATACACCTGATGGAGGATTGAGAAGCAGTTTATACTCGTATACACTTCAGAGTCTTGATTCAGATTAATTTAGTGTTATGATGCCAGCTTCAACCAAGATTTGGATGCTATTCTTGAGGACGAAACAAGCCTTGGTGGGATGAAGGATCCTCCTATGGTACGCACAGTACTTTAGATCCGAAGTATTATTAGCTTCCTCCTGATTTGTGATAGGTGGCAGTTTGATCTTTTTGTTTTTGAGGAGGGATTCAAAAATGGTCGGAACATCTTCGTCCTTGAAGGAGTACTCTTTTTGGAGTCTTGAATCCGAAGTCTTTTGCTGTCTTCCTGGTTGCTGCTGTGACGTCTGATTAATATCAACAACTGGTGCAGGTGCCTTCCCCTTTCCACTAGAGGCGAAGTTTGATTTTGGAGGGTTAGCCGTTGGTTGGCTTCTCTCGGCTTTCTTCCTTTTGAGGAAGCATTCGGCCTGCTCTCCGCGCACCTTCAACTCTCTCCAAGTCTTGAACGGTGCTACTCCCATAATTTCTAAGATATCAATGGACAGATTGTTATGATAGGTTTGGAGGATGAAGTCCCATATGACTGGATCTCGGTTATTCATCGCCTTATTTCAGAAGCGCTTAACAAAGCCATCGACCGTCTCTTCGTCTTCCTGTTTCTCCTCAAAGAGTATCCTAATTGATATATCGGTGTCATCATCAAATAAATTACCGAGAAATAAGCTTTCTGTGTCATCCCAGCTGTTGACGCTTCCAGGCTTGAGACGGCGATACCAATCGAAGGCAGTCCCGTGAAGGATGCCCACAAATGACTGAACCATCAAGGCTTCATTATCAGAAATCATGCCCAAGTGGGACTTGAAGTAGATCATATGTTGAGTAGGCGAGCCTTTCCCGTTGAATGGCGTGAAGTTGATCATGTTAAACTTCACCGGGTACGGGATCGACTCCCACTCTCTCGGATAAGGACACAGAATACTGGCCTTCTTCACCTCTCAAGTAGACATCAGAGCGTTGATTTTGCTCTCGAGGTCTTTCATCTTCTCATCCTCGCTCGTATCCTTCCTTAGTCAATTTTAAGGAGGAACATAACAGCCATCCCTAACATCATCATCATTGGTGGGGCCACCCCCAGTGTCGTTATCTTTAGTGGGGCCACCCTCGGCATTTTGGTTAACGAGAGGGTTATCTACATCGAGGTGTTCGTCCATGTCCACATCGCCACTAGCCCGGTAGGTATTATTGTGATAACTAGATTTTCCAATCTGATTAGACAAAGCTAGAATCTGTTGGTCATGCATTCCCCTCATCTACTGCATAACCATTTTCATTTTAATTTTGAATGCTTTTTTCTGCTTGGCTAGAGCATCCTCGAGAATTTTGGCCATTTGCTCGGTGTTGATCATATACACTTCCCGAGCTTGTCCCATGCTAGACATTGTGTCATCAGAGGCAATTGCGGAGCAAGTATCTGAAAGTTCGTTCTCTAAAGATAGTCCTTCATGCATCCTTGGGTCAACCTTATGTTTGATGGCTTCTAGCTAGAGCCAAGACATCCGTTGGGATATTCCTAAATTGACTTTTCTTCCCAGAGAAAAGTCAGTATTAGAGCCGTTTGAAGCAATCGCAGACTTTCCTCTGTCAACCATATTGATAGTGCCTTCAGGGAATTCGTTATCTTGACCGGTTGACTTTCTTTTACAGAAACACCTTGACTTACCCCCTGTCAACCATTGTTTCAACGCTTTAGGGGAAAGCCTTTGGAATACGGAGACCCTCTGTGGAGCGGTCTTACGGCAGCTACATTCTAATAATACTGCCCGGATAAATCTCTCACATGGACAATGAGAATACATTTCTGGGGTATTCCTCTTTTAAGACTTACCCCCAGTCTGATAGTACAACTTATCGGTATTATGACCGGAGTAACTTATCGGCTGTTTACATGATTCTTCAGGTGTAATGTTGTCGTCTGTTCGAAGCGTCTTCTTCTGAATAGGTAACGCTTTATTAGCGTTAGCAGGAGTCACCTGTTTGGAATCACACCCGTGTGAGGGTGAAATCTTAGCAGACTCCTAGTTTTGTGCACGCAAGTCTAAGCAGGTGGTCACGGGAGTCAGCTGGTTAGGAGATCGCGTACGACTCCCAACCTGAAGAGTCGCTCGGGATTTGTTCATCGGTCTCAAGCGTTCTTTGACAGGAGTTTTGCCTCGATCTTCGTGTAGAGGACCTAGGCGATCTTTCAATTGAATTCTGAATTTGGAGAGACCTACGTTGCCATAGGGCTTCGTCGGAAGCGCGGAAGCATGAGGAGCGAGATCTGAAGTTAACGAAGACTGAATAGTAACTTCGTCTGCTTTTGCCTTAGGCATTGATTTGACCTTTGGCATCCAAACCCGTTTATACTTGGGCGATTTCTTAACCGCCTCTTCTTTCTGCATTCTTGTGCTTTTCGCACAAGGATCCGGGCATGCGCAAGAAGTGTGCAGCGTTTTTGAATGCGCTCCTCCAGAGTGGAACGGTTCCGTTTAACACGAATCCATTCGTTTGTAGGTGATTTGTAGAAGAATCCCGAAGCTTGGCGATGGTTTAGCCACTTGACGTCTCCTGGACTTTAGATCCTCTTGGTAGCGGAGCCCATCCACTTGCTCCAAAGTCTTAGCAAATTAACGAGCGAGACGTTGACGGCACCTCTGACTATCTATTTTTGATAAAGTTAGCGCACCTTCGGCAGTCAACTCCTTAATGGAGGCGGTGTTCGGATTTGCAGCTTTGGCTTCATCGAACGCCAACGGATCGTTGCGAGGTGCTACTGCAGTAGCAGTAGCGGGGAGATCACCTTCTTGGTTCTTCAAATCTGGAGACCAGCGGATCTTCCGAGAGGAGGAGACCTTCTTGTATTTACAAGGAGAGGCGGATCTGGAGGAGGAGGAGGAGACGTACTCCTCGAACTTCTATTGGTCGAACTCGTATTCAACCTCTTCAGTCACAGGGATCTTGATCGTCAGTTGCGGCATGACAGCCTTGGCAGTAAGGCTGTTGGCTCCTACTGTGGTCACCAGCTTATTTAGGGTGAAAGTTAAAATCTTCATTAAGGTGTTCATTATAACTTTAGTCGTTACAATGAACATGAAAAGATAGTCTTTTTATAAGACTCTTACACAATAAAAATAAAAAAATTACAATTCTCGTCAAAACAAACACAACAGACATTTATCACCCGCTGTTTGCATAGGATCTTTGCCAGTACCAGGGATGTTAATATCCGTAGACTACCAAGCGATCAGATCAATCCGGAGTTTCGTTGATTCGCGAAGGAATCAAGAAACCAAAATAATTATCTCGGCAACAGCGAGATAACCACTCTTCTCAAGATCGCAGTTAGGTACGATCTCAAGGGAAGGAACCGGACTATGGATCTGACGAACTCCTCCTCTTTATATCGAGGAACTCGATCCGATCTCCTCCTCCTCTTTGAAATCCATGCTTCTCAGTCTCTAATTCAGCAGGGCTTCGCCAAGGCTCGAGAATTCCAGATCTGTGCAAATGAAGGCCCTAGGGCTGTATTTATAGGCTTCGAGACCTCTGTTTTTGGATAAAAATGACCGATTCAATCTTATCCTCAATCATAACCACTTTATCACGTTCTTGGATAATATTAGATCGGTTAGAATAAATCCAGACGGTTAACGGTTGAAAACGGCTCAGAACTACGTTTTTGGGCCTGCGGACACCCGTAGTGTCTCGGCCTTGGCCGAGAAACCTTGGGTCTCTCGGGCTTGACCGAGACACATTGGGTGTCTCAGCCTTGGCCGAGACACTTGTAGTGTCTCCACCAAGGCTCGGGGCATTGTTTTGTGCATCCCGTCCGTTTCTGTCATATCTTTATCATCCGAACTCGGAATTCCACGATTCAAAGTGCGAAGGAAAGGCGACAAGGAGATCTACAAGCTCCCATGGTTGAATCACATGTAGAGTAGATGGGATAGGAGAGGCGCTTCGTCTTTCATAAGCAAAGCATAGCTCCCGATCAGTTCGTATCATCGTTATTCTGCAGTTTCGTTGCTTCACACGGTTCGTCGACTTACTTCATGCGCTCATCGATGTTAATTAAGCTTCTGTGACTCGGATAGTAACGTTCATTGTCTTCTCTCTGCTTCGAGTTACGTACGAGAGCCCGTAGGTAATTTTTGACTCATACATATGGCTCAACCCCTAGGTTCAATGCTTTTCTAATTGGTGTGAGTGGAACTACTATTAGACCTAGGGGTGCTAAATCGTATCCGTATCCGAGGAAATATCCGTAACCGTATCCGTTAGAATACAGATATAGTTACTCAAATCTATAACTGATAGGATATGGTTACAGAAATGGTTTTGTAGTGAAATATCCATATCCATATCTGAAATATCCGAATACATATTAGTCATACTCTTACGGTAGTTTCGATTCTTAGATTATGGATTTGTGGTTAATTTTGATGATCAAGATGTTAGTCATACTCTTACGGTAGTTTCGATTCTTAGATTATGGATTTGTGGTTAATTTTGATGATCAAGATGTCTAATCTTAACTTTTCAGTTATAATGAACATATTAACGAACTTTTTTGTATCACGTGAACTATATTTTTCTCAATACTATCTAGTTTTCTCATATTCGTTTTGTATCCACATGCATATCCGCTTATATATCCGCATGTATATCCGTAACTGTACCTGATTTTAGCGGATATGGTTATGAATTTTCCTTACCGAGGTATATCCGTGTCCATATCCATATCCGAGATGGATAAGCAGATATGGATATGATAAGCATCATATCTGAGCCCTATCCAGACCGAATGCACCCCTTAGACCTAAATATTGGATATCTTAGGTCTCGCTTGATGTAATGAAGTAATTTTTCTTTTTTTTAAACTTTTTTCCCCTCCTTTTATTTTTGTCTATTTCCTTATCTTTTTGTGTGTGGCTCAAAATGGATAAAGAAACAATCAGTTCTCATATTTAGACCACGGATGTGAAATTTTCCCCCTAGAATAATGATATCGAAAGAACATGGTGAGTAACATAGACCTTAGTTTTTCTTAATTTATCATTTTTTTCTATTTCAGCTCATTTGAGTCACTCGTGTGTATTTTTTGTTTGATGTTCTTGTCGGTAACCTGTAAGATTCAACCTGCAAGGGTGGAACTTTAAGGTATTTCTTCACAGAACTGTAAGAACTCGTTTATTTTACATATTTATGTATTTATTTTTTAGATTTTGCTCCTTTCTTTTTTCAAAACATTTTTCTACAATACTTAGGAGAACTCTGAATAGTAAATGGGAATACAAAGTCGTTCCTATCTTTAGTGTTGAGTTCCTAACTCTATGCTGTTATCATTGATAAGAATTTCCTCCAAAACAATCATTAATAAGAAAAACTGTAAGGATTGCATATCATCTTGTAAAAATGCGAAGTTATAATACAAAAATACAATTTAAGACTTCAGTCTTACGATCAATGTTAACAAGGGAAGAGTGTCCAAATAATAATAATTGAAAGTTTTTTCAAGGAACTACACCTAACTCAGGCCCTATTTCATGTTACCAAGTTTGATCACTCAAATTTTACAAAATCATCCTTATATACCATTCCATTATCATATACCAATATTTTTCCATCTAAAACTTTTTACATTGAACTTTTGCCCTATATAAGTTTAGTTTTGATTTGTTGAATGTTTGATATCAAAGTTAAATTTTATTGAATTTTGAGTATCAAAATTAAATTTTGTTAAACTTTGGAGTATCAAAATCAATCTTATTTGAGCTTTGGGTTATCAAAGTTAAATTTTGTTGACCTTTAGGTTAAAAAAAGAATAAAAACTTTGGGGGTTCTAAACTAAAAGTTAAATTTTGTTGAATTTTGAGATATCAAAGCTATATTTTGTTGAACTTTGGGCAAAAAAGAACTTCGGTATACCAAAGTGAAAATTGAAGTAGAATTTTTGATTTTTTTTTTTTTTTAACTATGATACCCAATGTTTAACAAATTATTTTTGAACTAATAGTTCAATAAATTTTAACTTTTATATCCAAAAGGCAATAAAATTAAGGGAAAATTATGTCGAGACCCCAAAAGTAGAAACTTTATGTGACGAGGCCATTTGTATTCTACCCCATGTGGATAAGCCCCAAATACACAGTATTTGTGACGAGGTCCTAAAGTATCGGATTCCAAAAAAAGCCCAATGGAAGTTACTAACTTTCCCCTTTGATGAGACTGAACTCAGTTACTGCGTCCCTCCCTATTTATTCCTAATTTCTCTATCATTAATCACATCTCTCTCTCTCTCTCTCTCTCTCTCTCCTCTCTCTCTCTCCTCTATCTCTTAACTTCTCCTTTTCTCTCACTTCCGCTATGGCCACTGAAAATGATCAGCCTCTGGGGAGGCCATGGAAGGCGAAGGCGAGGACGGTGGTCATGGAGTCGGAGATCGGGGACGTGATCAGGTCCAAGGGCTGGGCCGTCTGGGATGGGGCTGACTTCCACCAGACCTGCTACTACACCGAGTATAACAACAGGGGGCCTAACGGCGACCCTAGGCCCAGGGTCGAGTGGGTCAAAAAGTATGAGTCCATCAACAAGGAGGCGTCCCTCTTCTTGATCGAGAACTGACTGGGGGGCGTCACCTGGCCGAGGGACGCCGGGGCCAAGTTTATCAACGGCTTCGTCAAGAGCTAGTTAGTTTAATCAAATCGCTAGCTAGATTGTTAATTAAAAGATCGATTGGCTTGGACCCTCCGTGCATCAAGCACGTTGGGTTTTAATTTGTTACCTTGAATTTTTATTAATTGTTTTGTCATGGAAATTTTTTTAAAACATTTTATTTGTAATTGTTTCCGAAAATTATAAATGAAAAGTAAGGTGAATTCCTCTCCTCTTTTATCGTTGTTATTGTTATTTTATTATCAGTTCTTTCTTTAATTTGTTGTGGACGTGGCCGAAGCGCTGACTGGGACTAAGATCGCAAGGCAACAACATCAAACAATAATATAAAAGAGTTATGCGTGTTAGTTCTACTTCCAGCTAATGTTATTTCTAATATAAGCATTAGTTCTAGTGATATGTTAGTTCTAGTTGAGCCCCTGTTAGTTCTCGTGATTCTCGTGTTAGTTCTAGCTGATGTCATGTTAGTTTTAACTTTCAGCTAGTGTTATTTCTAATATAAGCGTTAGTTCTAGTGATGTGTTAGTTCTAGTTGAGCCCCTGTTAGATCTAGTGACTTTCGTGTTAGTTCTAGCTGATTTCATATTAGTTCTACTTCCAACTAGTGTTATTTCTAAACTAAGCATTAGTTCTAGTGGTCTGTTAGTTCTAGTTGAGCCCTTGTTAGTTTTGGTGGTTCTCGTGTTAGTTCTAGCTGATTTCATTCTAGTTTTACTTCCAACTAGTGTTATTTCTAATATAAGCATTAGTTCTAGTGGTATGTTAGTTCTAATTGAGCCACTGTTAGTTGTAGTGGTTCTCGTATTAGTTCTAACTAATGTCATGTTAGTTCTAACTTTCAGCTAGCGTTATTTCTACTATAAGCATTAGTTCTAGTGGTATGTTAGTTCTAGTTGAGTCCATGTTAGTTCTATCGGTTCATATGTGTAAAACCCCGTAAATTAGAATATTTTGTGATAAATAATAATAATGTTATATGATGATAAATATCATATTTTGATATTTGAGTATGTTGGAAATTGATTTGAGATCAATTCAATGTATATATGTGAATATACGAATGCAAATGCAAATACGGTGAAATGATTAGTTTAAGTTTTGTTTACATTTTACACACTGATAACGTTAAAATCTGGTAAAATTCAAAAGATAAAAGTTGTAGGTCTCTTCGACAGCTTTCCAACAAATCTTAAATCACCCAATTCCAAGGTCGGATAAGAAAGTTACAGCTGATACACTAAATAGATCACGCGCAAAAATTGATTTTCCATGAACAATACCCCGACACTGTTGGCAGATACACTGTAGCCACGAAACATATTAGGAGACACTGTAGTGGATATTACTGTAGCTGTGAACGGAATTTACTGTAGCTACTGTAGATTTATTTTTACGGTTTCTGCGTTCGGCTCTTTTTCCGGAATTTCTGGGCGTGATCGGCTTTGAGCGGCGGTGCAGTGTCAACATCTTCTCTTTACCTGATTTCAGGGATTGATTTGTACTATTAAAAAATAAAACAAATGATAATTTTTCTCTCTTCATCTTCATTTCTCAAAAAGAGAGAGGAGAACCTGAGAGCTGGGGGACTCTGATTTCAGAGATCCCTTTAAAGAAAAATAAAACAAAAATAAAAACATCTCTCGAATTCCTATACCAATTTCCAAACTTCACAATCCAGTCTCTCCCTCCTCCCAAAATTTTTGAAAGCCTCTGAGACGTTCCTATGAAGTGTTGTGGAAGAAGAACATGAAATTGTTTCCTGTGGCGTTTGTGAAGAGGAAGCAGGGAATTGGCATTTCAGCGAATGAGGATCGCAAACAAACATTCGTTTGGATTTTCAGCAGCACCCTAAGGCAAGATTACCCTCATCCAAACCTTCCCCATAACTTAGTTAAATTTATGACAAGTTAAAATGTGATTTTATCATGCTTAAGCCTACTTGTTGTGCTAAAATAAATTAGACTTTTGAGGATAATTTTTAATCCACTGTTAGAATTGAAAATATTGTTTCATTACTGTTGGAATTAATTTGGTGATTTTGATCATTAGAGTAATATATATAAATATATATATATTCATTGTTAATTTATTAGTCATGTTAATAGAACTTTTCTTAACCTATACCAACACTTGTACAAGTGATCCAGACTTCAATGGCCTACGAGTCTCTAAATTGTTATGAATAGTTTTGTTCGTAAATCAGGATGTGCTACCTTAATTTGTTACTAAACTGCGTGTCCAACAACCCAGCTTTGAAAACTGATTCGTTAGGATATTGTTTATACTTTGTAGCAAATGAATGTAGTACACTGTCAATACTTTGAGAAATAAACCTTCAAATTTATATTAGCTGCTCTAAGTGATGGGCCCTCTATCTTTGCTGTTGATAATAGTGTATTGTAGTGGGTTTTAGTCCCACATTGCTTGGGAGAACAAACCTCACACTCCTCTACTTGTATAAATATATGTGCACACTCAATATTCAATTCAAGGGAAATTTACCCAAGATTCTCTCTCTCTCTCTTACTTTAACATGGTATCAGAGCTAGGGCTATTTCCCTTTCAATAAAATTTTTAACGCTTTTGCGTTCTTTTGCCAAATCTTGGCCTTATTGCTTTGCAGCCGTTTAATGTTTTATTTTTTTTATTTTTATTTTTAATTATTTGGCGTTCATCTGCCAGATATTTTGGCCTTGTCGTTTTGCGGCCTCTTAACGCGTTTCGCGTTCTCGTTTAACCTTCGGGTTCTATTTTAAACCTTCGGGTTTCATTCTAACCTTCGGGTTCTATTTTAAACCTTCGGGTTTCATTCTAACCTTCGGGTTCTATTTTAAACCTTCGGGTTTCATTCTAACCTTCGGGTTCTATTTTAACGGCATTGTCGTTTCAAGACCGTCTCTCGGTCTCAAATTAACGGCATCGTCGTTTCAAGCCGTCTCTCGGCCTCAAACGAACGACATTAGTAACAGCATCTCGACATCTTAACGTCTCAAGATTGCTGTTATGGCTCCTTCAGAGAAGATTCCCAAACCACCTTTGCCCCTCAATGATCAAAGTGACTGGGCAGGGTGGTCCACCATTGTCACCAATGCCTTGCGTGGCGCTGGTTTGCTTGATCATCTCACCAGTACGGGACCAGTTCCACCGTCCATCAGCACTGTTGCTTCATCCAGTACTATTGCCTCTGGCAGTGGTGATGTCGATCTTCAGACTGCTCGTGCTCTCTATGTCAAGGAGAGTTCAGAGTGGCAATTGCAGGAATTTCGTGTTATGGATTATCTCACTCGCTGTGTTGGCTCTGGTCTCACTGTCGAGATTGGCTCGCTTCCCTCTGCTCAGGCCATGTGGACTCGTCTCACTGAGCGTTTCACTGAGTGCTCGGGTGCACGGGAGGCATATCTTCTGCAACGCATTTCTCTACAACGCAAAGGTAGTTCATCTCTGCAGTCCCATTTTGGACAAATGCAAGCTTTTTGGACAGAGTT